CCAGGATCTCGAGATGGCAGCAAATGAGCTAAAGACCCCACAAACTATTTTGTTTAATAAATCTCTTCGAGAAGGAGAACTACCAGAAGATTGGAAAAATGCAATAGAAACAGCAATTCACAAGAAATGAGAAAAGAAAAAACAAAGGGTAAATGTATACAAAACTGCTATCACTATTAGCTTTTTGTTGATTTACTTTATTTTTTGCTATACAGTAAGTCCTCGCTTAACTTCGGGGTTACGTTCCTAAAAATGCGACATTATAGGAAACAACGTTAAGTGGATCAATTTTCCCCATAAGAAATAGATAAAATATGGGAGTTACGTTCCTGACCCTCCCTTTGCCCCATGAAATACATTACATGTACAGAAAATCATTGCCATTTCTATAGAAAATAATGCTTACATATACAACTACGTACTAAGTTTGTATTGGTACTCACCGATGGGCGGAGGTGGTAGAGCGAGTGTGTGGTGGGTAGTGAAGCAGAGGAGGTGGATGATAGGAGGGGAGAAGTATGGTGGGAGCGGAGGAGGAGGGTGGGGAGTCACTGAGACTCTGCGCCAAGCCGAGAGAGGGGGAGAGAGGGTGACGCACCGTGAAATATAGTCTGTGACAACGCAAAACGACGTTGTATCGGATCACCGGGACGTGAAACGAATTTTTGGTCTCTAAAGTTTAGCAAAGTAGTACCGAAACAACGTTAAGCGAGGACTTACTGTACTTATTGTTTTGATGATTTTAAGTATATTAAAAGAAACGACAACTTTCTATTATAATTTTTTGTATACTTTAGGATTTTTTTCAATTACTCTATCCTACGATCTTAAATTCCTTGTTAGTGGGCAGGGCATGAAAGATGAGGGAAATTACAGGGTAAAAACACGGCGAACACTGATCTTATGGCATTAAAATTACGTCTCTAGGTGCATTTCAAACGCTAAAACAATTTTCTTACCGTAAGTCAGTCCGGCTTCACAATTCGTACCACTACCATTCCTTGTTTCCTCTCCAATCGTATAAATTGTGTTCCATTACTCCTGATCCTTTCAATAAAATAATTACACATCTTTAACACGTGATATTTACGTGTTACAGCATCTCGTTTAGAGCATGTTGACCTCCGTTGGTTGTTTATTCTTATCGCGAATTATCAGGCCTAGTTCTTGTTTGTGACCAAGGTTTAATTAAGAACACTTATAAATGTTCCAAATGCAATATATCAAACTCTATATTAAGGTAAGTTGTTTAAGATTTTTTTTCGTTCGTGACAATAGTTAGGTAGGGTGTTCTAGGTTCTTTTGCTTACTTTGGTAGCCCAATATTACGGTAAGTTGTTTGTTTAGGGTAAATTTCGTTCGTGACAATCGTTAGGTAGGGTTTCCTAAGTTCTTTTGCCAAGTGCGATTTTGTTAAAAAATTTTGTACACACTATTAGCATAATATTAAACATATAAATGAACACGATAATGCATAGAACCTACTAGAAACTGACCTAATAGGATGGGTTTGTTAGGTTAGGTTCTAATAAGTTCTCTGCATTGTCATTTCCATTTCTGTGTTTAATAACATGCTAATACTGTAGTGTACACAAAATTTAAACCAAATCGCACATTTCCTTCTCGTGATAGTGGTTTCGTAAGCCTTTACCAAACAAAGAATTACAGACCAATATCGTCAACTTCACAAGTAGTCAAGATAATAGAGAAAATTGTAAAGGAAGCTATACTGGACTAACAACAAAGTGCCAACATTGATTTGTAGCTGGACATTCATGTTTGACAAACTTATTATAAACCTTAGAGGGTTGGACATATATGACTGATAAAAATGAAGCCTTTTATGTCATTTACCTAGAATTTAAGAAAGCACTTGATAGTGTACCACATCATAGGTTATTAAACAAATTAAACAAAATTACAAATAATGATAATGCATTAAGATGGATCTAAGGATTCTTAACCCAAAGAAAATGTGTAACAGTAAATGAAGCCAAATCTACCCAGTAAGTAGGTGAAAGTATGAAGTGGCGTTCAACAAGAATCAGTCGTTGGACCAGTTTAATTTTTTATATTTATCAACGACTTGCCAACTAATGTCCTATCAGTTTGCAAAATGTTTGCTGATGACACAATAATCTACAAGAAGACAAAGGAAGTGGCTACACTACAGGAGGACCTAGAAAGACTCAAGACCTGAACAGAAATATGAAAAGTATATTTTATTACAAAAAATTTAAAGTAATACACTATGGCCACAGAAATTTAAACCTAAATTATATTATGTGTAAAAACAATTAGGACTGTTAATAAAGAAAAGGATCTAGTCTTAATGACAAGCAATCTGAAATTTAGTGACCACATCTCAGAAATAACAAGAAAAGCTAACCAAATGTCAGGCATGATTAAAATGTTCCTTTGACTACATGTTCCTGGAAGTATTCTTAATACTACAGTATATAAAAGTTATATGAGACCGCACATAAAATATGATGTACAGGCATAATCCCCATATCTTATAAAAGATATACAGTAGATATAATAGAAAACATACAGTATAGAGAAGATTCACCCAAATTGTTCCTGGGTTAAGATATCTACCCTGAGAAGAAAGATTACACCAGCTGAAACTATCTACTGTACAGTACACTGGAAAGGAGAAGAGAGGAGATCTGATAGAAACATATAAAATATTGAATGGAATTGAAGATTTTAATTGCACACATTTCTTTCAAGAAACTTTAAATGAAACAATAGAAAATATACAAGAAACAAAGCACTAAAACTGCTAGGAAATACTTCTTCTCACAGTGAGTGGTCGACACATGAAACAAGCTTTCAAATGATACATCAAATTTAACCACAATGATAAAAAAACCAGTAAAATGACCAGAGACAAATTTAAAGGCGAGTATAATGGATGCAAACTAGTCTTGCTAATTTATAATGGCAAGTACCAACAAATACTGGTAGGAATAAATTATTTTTATTTTTCCCTTTATCTTCCTACATATGACAATATATAATTAAGTGTTGGCAACTACTAAATATAACCCGGTACAGCTAATCCCCGACTTACAATCACCCGGCCATACGACCGTGTAGTGGCTCCTCTCCCCAACAACTCCCAACTGAGCTCCGGCCGCGCGCCTACCAGCCAATCAGCGTACAGCCAGCTACGCCGAGAGACTAGGTCTATGCAGAGGACGCAGGGGTACGATGGCCGACCTAGTCTCTACCTTCAACCTTTGGTTCAGGATCAGAGCGTTTCACACCTTACGCTTAAGCCGCTGTGATTGGTCCTCTCGCTACGCTCACCCCAAATCCTGATCCTCGTAAATTGTATAAATACGGCCATGCCTGGCCAGGGAGACCATTCTACACTCGGCTACTGGACCAGCAACATCTCTCACAGCTCCTCACCACTCAGCTTCCTCAGAAACCTCCTCACCCTACGGGACCTCTGAGCAAGTTTCTCCTCACCTAGTCACTCCTAAGCACTGCGCTGTACAACAATATATATACAGAAAGCGCATTGTGAGTTTCTATCCTACCTCATTCCTGAGTGTGAGATATCTACATGTACGTACGTTTGTGAGCCCATATAAAGAGAATTGACAACTGGCCACATACAGTACGCTACAACCGTCCCAGTCGTACCAAATTTTTTCAAATTACGTATTTTCAAGTCCCGACATTAGTGATTGCGCTGTGTACTGACAAAATTTTTGTTTGTAATTCCCTTAAAATTGCTGGCAAGCTTAAAAGTGAGAGTTTTGTGGTGCTGAGAAGAAAAAGAGACACCCATTTTAAATTTTCTATGTACAGGGTACTGTATTATTTTCGCATTTTCAACTTACAACCAATTCGACTTACGACCTGGATTTAGGCCCCTAACCCTATCGTAAGTCGGGGGGGACACTGTAGTTACTATTTTTAGTTCCTGTCATCCATGGAATTTTACAAATTTAACTATTGGAATCAGTAGTTTAGACAATTCTAGGGCACTTTTCCTCTATGATGTTTCCCTCAGAAACGACTTAAATATACCCGGAGTGAGAGTTGTGAACTCTTGGAACAATCTGCCAGTGTTGTGACGGCACCGAGTGTGAGCTCTTTCAAGACCAGACTTGACCAACACTGGAGCAGGTTCAGGTACATTCAGGAGCCGGCGCATGCCCAGTACTTGCCAACAGTGCGTAACAGAGACGTGACCGATCGTCCAAGCGGCTAATGAGCCGATCGCCCAAGCGGCTAATGAGCCGATCAGTGGCGAAGAGGCTTTTTATTTTTTTAAAGGGATTAGCCCAACCGGGGACAGGTCACTGACCCACATCGGGGCCTGGGGGCAAAAATGTACTACTACTACTACTACTACTACTACTACTACTACTACTACTAATACTAATAATAATAATAATAATAATAATAATAATTCAAATAAGGAAAAATTTTAATAAATACAAAAATAAAAATAAAATAATAATAACAATAATAATAAAAATAACAACACTGCAATAATAATAAATACAAAAATGAAAAAAAAAAGATCAAGAGTGAGAAACAATATACCTGTATGTATGTTGTGTTGTCAATGGCAAGAGAAACAGTTGAGACCCTGCAATTGTGTATAAATGAGGCAGAAAGTCAGATCATCAACCTGGGACTCGGTCACAATTTTCGTGATGCCATATGGCAGCAGGGTCTACCATTAGTATAGTTAGATCAAGTCACTAGCGAGGGAAAGGTCATAGAATTGTCTAAACTACTGATTCCAATAGTTAAATTCCTAAAATTCCCAGGATGACCGAAACTTAAATAATACCGGAATCTGTACACTATATCAATACAGTACGTCCTAAACAACTGTCAGTCCTCGTTCCAAACTCTAATGAGCAGTTAACACATTTCCTCTCCATGACAACGGTGATTATTAGTAGAAACATAAAGAGACCTATAATAACACAACTTATCATTTATATCTGAGTACCTATGTTTACCTTTAAGGCAATAGAAGCATGAGGGATGTTGATCACCATGTTGACACTTGGATATCGATCACTTCACTTGGTAGTTGAGTGTTGACGTGTGGCCCTCCCGTCCCCTGAGCCTCGAGTCACACACACACACACACACACCACCGCCTACGAACCTTAAATAACCTTATGGGAAAAAATGAAATCACATCACTACCCTAAGTTAATCTGTTACTTTATTTATGTAGTTATTTATGACTATTCTTATCTGTATATAAAAGCTCCATTCAAATTCGCCTGAACTACCGTAAGTGGGATTAAGATACCCGTATATCTTAGTCTTCGCTGAATTTTTTTACATTTTTATTTTTTTTATTTTTGTGAATATTATATTTGTAACTATCAAAAATATTATACGGTACCATAAATGTGTCTCATTAATGAAAAGTATGGCTCCGCTATTCCTTCAAAGGGTTTAGGGGTGATTGATTTGTTTCACATTCAGAGCTCAGTATTACATACGGAAGAAGTGACCATTTCTTTCTTTTAAGACAAGTAGTAAAAAATACATCACTAATATCAAATATGAAAAACAGCCATGGCTGACTTGTAAGTTCCCGATTCGAATTATATTGAGCGTTATACGCAAATCAAATTACTGTACTGTAGGCTTTCACAGTCTCTCACAACTGCGTCTAGGCCCCGACTCCCGGGTTCGATATAAGGAACTCGGAGCCACTAATTGGCTCGTTAGCCGCTTGGGCGGTTGGTAACGTCCAAGGAGAGTATCAAGTTTAGAAGCTCCAAAGTTGTTGGTAGCGAAAGTCAGAGCGGGGAAGATGACAGAGGAAGGAGCAGGAGGTTAGGAAGGGTATTTAGGTCCTTTCATTTATAGGAGGAAGCGCGTCTGTTATTTTACTTTGAGGCCCCTGATTGGTCCGCCATCTAGTTGCCAGGCGTCTCTAAGAAAGAAAACAATTGAATTTGTGGGGTTATGAGATATTTGGTTCACACTCAGGATGGGATGGAAAAAGGAAACTCACAACGTGCTCTCTGTATAAATATTGTATTGGATGTACAGTGCAGCTTGGTGCTGGGAAGTGGCAGCGTAGTTACAAGCGTGATGTAGAGAGAGCTGGTTGGTGAGGATGCTCAGAGGAGGACCAGCCTGTGGGTGGCCATGGTTGCCGGCGGGAGCGAGGACCGCCAGGCAGGAGCGGAGGAGGTGTTGTTACTTGCTGCGGTTGTAGGTAGAAAGAGAGAGGTAGGTCACCACGAGGTCAGGTCTTATATAGCGGAGGTAGGCGTGGCTTAATAGTTGAAACTCCGTCATGTAAGGCGGCGCTGGTTGACCTATACCACGAGGCATACACTGGGTAATTCACGGGTCGGCTACTCAGCGACGAACAGCGTTTGTAGGGGAGGAAATTAGGAATCCACTACAATACTCCCCCTTCCCTCCAGGCGGTGTAGGAGACTTGTTGTCTGCTGGGTTGCATGGCATATGTGAGGCAGAACGGGCGGTGCATGCCACATGTGAGCCATAACGGCGTTGGCGTGGATGAGCCGGCCGCTAGAGGAGACAACTGTCTATATACACAATATCTGTGGGAGTAGAGAGGGACATAACAGCGTCTGCGACAGACCAGGCTACAGATGATCGAAGAGGCCTACAATGGTGAAGATTACACCGACAGACTCTTCAACCAGCAAGAACTCCAGAAGTCGATAAAACGAAGTAAGGACACAGCACCAGGGGCCGACAGGATAACCTACTCCATGATTTTCCATGCCGGAGAAGCCGGGCACGAGGCTTTGCTACAAGTCATCAATGCTTCGTGGATAGCACAGAGACTACCACCGGAATGGAAGCCCATTCCGAAGCCCAGAGAACCAAACAAACCAAGACTCAACAGACTCAAGTGGAAAGTCGGCAGCCCACACCCTCACATTTTTGCTTACACCGAGAACACCGGCACAAGCAACAACAATGCCGAGATACTCAGAACAGTGGACAATAAACCAGCTTTGGTGGTCTTCCTCGACTTGGAGAAGGCCTTCGAACTAGCAAATCCACTGGCCATTATAACGACGCTCGCTGAAAAAGGCATCAAAGGAAGGTTGCTGGGGTGGATCCAGAACTACCTTACACAGAGAGAAGCAAGAGTAAGCTTTCATGGGGCAACGTCAAGCTACAGGGTCAACGAAAACGGAACCCCACAAGGAAGCATCCTCAGTCAAACGCTGTTCAATGTCCTGATGAAAAATCTAGTCAGACTTCCTTTCAGACAAACAGCCAAGTTCCTCTGCTATGCAGACGACTTACAGCTCATAGTAAAAGGAGCAAACAGACTAGTCAACACGCAACACACACTCCAACTTATAGAAGAGGAGTGCAACAGACTTGGAATCAAGATAAATCCAGCCAAGTCGAAAGCGATGGCCATCTGCACAGACACACCAGACATGATGCTCTCCTTACAAAACATGCCGGTAGTCTGGACCAACACCCACCAGTGTCTTGGAATCTGGTTCGACCAGAAACTCACTTTCAAGCCGCAACTCGAGTATCTCAGGTACAGGACGAAGAGCAGACACAACATAATGAGGTCGCTCACCAGCACAACCGCAGGAGCGAACATACACGTGCTCAAAGCCTACTACACGGCCGCCATCAGATCGCTGGTATATTACAGTGCTCCAGCATTCATTGGACTGAGAGAAGACCAGATAGCTAAGCTAGAAGTTATCCAAAATAATGCTCTCAGGACCATGCTCGGAGCACCCATGTGGGCCAGAATTTGCAATTTGCAAATGGAAACTGAACTACCACCCCTGGCAGTCTGAGTCAAGCAGGTGACAGCCGATCTCGCCAAAATCTGTAGATCAGATAAGCCCACAGCTGCCAAAATGCGAATCAATGCCTCCCTCCACCTCGACCACAGAGTGCGAGGGGCCACCTGGTTGCACGAGGCAAGCGAGGTCATTGGGCACCTGCAAGCAGAAACACTCGTCAAGAACAACTAAGACATACGAGACAGCGATTATGTAGTTCCACTACCATGGAGCCCTCCACCAGCCACATTCAAAATCACCGAACTAGGTGATAGCAAAGCCAACCTCCAGAAGGAGGACCTCAAAAGGCAGGCAAAGGCCCATGTCGGACTACGGTCCGACACTCTCAACAATAACAACAACAGCCGAGCATTGTAGGAAGAGTAAATCACTACATTACTCCCACTCTCCTCCGGGCACGGCAGGAAGCTTGTTATAAGCAGAATCGCATTCCACGTGTAAGGCATAGCAGGCAGGGGTGTTATACTGCCCATTCTGGGGTCACTAATCCAAAGGGGATAACTTAACTCTACTCTTAATTTTAAGGTCACTGCCACCAGACCCCCTAGACAGTATGTAGCTTGTTAGGTAGCTGGCAGAGCAAGCCAGGCATTCATCAAACCAAAGATGGGAGTAAGGGCAAAACATCATTCATGACTTAACTAATTTATTTTCTCATAAAAAAATTGTGCATTCAGTTACAATACAAAAAATAGTTGACCTTCATCAAAATAACTACTATTAGGTTCATTACACTTCACACCAGTACACGACCTTCTCCAAATTAACTAATTAAAATTTGCATTCTTCATAACAAACCATTGACCTCTTTACCCAGGTCAATCTTTATATAATCACCCAAAAATACTTTGTAGCACCACCCTTTACATCCTTGTAGCACCATGGTACACGTTATCGGTACCTCGCTCACACTCTACTTTTGCTAGGTAGATGGGATGCTTCCCCGGTAATCATACCAGATTATTCCAGCGTCCAGTATCATAGGGTCGCTTAACGCTACCGCGAATCATTCCATATAAGACAACCATTGCCTTCTGTTGTAGATGGTGATATGTGAGATGTCCAGGGGCCTTAAGGGAGATTGCAGGGTGGCCAGCAGTATTTTCCACAGCAACATGTGGGTACCTCACACGAGGATGATGATGACTGGGCCGTGCATTTCTCTGACTCCCTCGGGCCTACATGCGCTCCCGGAGTACACCTGCATGGGTGAGAAGAGACGCCCGACTGATCATAATGCCTGAGGGGCTTTTGTGTATACCGGTGTTAGGCGCGTGGGTTGGGTCGTGTTGCATCTCTGTAATAAAGCGTTGTTAGGCACTCGGGCCTTCGTTGTTGAGTGGCAGATATTGGACAGTGATTACATAAGATCATGAAGATCGTCTTAGTAATGTGAAAGTGTAAATTGATGTAGGATTCTTAATGCTAGACGCGATTGTACTTTTGAAAACTCAATCTCCACTGAGTTGGAGGTACAACCCAGGTTAAGAGGCCTACAACCACAAAATCATTGCCATATGACAAAGTTTTTATTTTTTTTTTTTACGGAGTTGTGGTCACGGCCGTGATAAAGGCCAACCAGGGAGTATAGTACTGTGCCTTTAGTTAAAACAGTTCATAGTGTCATCAGTGACTGTGGAAGAGGTGAATAAATAGTTGTAATAGTGTGTGGTGATATAAACTTTACTTTTACTTTTATCCTCTTCACCACTGATCGGCTTGTTAGCCGCTTGGGCGATCGGTCATGTCTTTGTTAATTTTCTTTTTCTTTTATCCCCTTCATCAATTGATTGGCTCGTTAGCCGCTTGGGCGATCGGTCACGTCTCTATTACGCACTGTTGGCAAGTACTGGGTATGTACCGGCTCCTGAATGTACCTGAACCTGCTCCAGTGTTGGTCAAATCTGGTCTTGAAAGAGCTCACACTTGGTGCCGTCACAGCACTCTCTGGCAGATTGTTCCAAGAGTTTACAACTCTCACTCCGAAAAAGTTTGTCCTCACAGTTTTCTGGACCTGCGGCTTCTTCAATCCTGAGCTGTGACCCCTTGTGGGGCGAGTGTCTGCAAGCTCCAAGTAAGGACACTCGACTGAGTAAAATAATAAAAATAATAATAATAAACGGTTTATTAATAGAGTTGCAGCCAGTGGCTGAAAATATGCAGACTTACATTTGATTTAGACATAATGATATAATATGCATTGAATACATTTACAGGGCTGTACAGTACATAAACCAGTTGTTGTTTATTATTTTAACAATAGATGGGATGGTGCTGTTCTTATATCTATCGGTGCGGGCTCTTATGGGCTGAATTTTGTTGTAGTGGCGGACTGCGCGAGTTGGGTGGGGGGCTG